ATTACCTCTAAATTATTTTCTTACTCTTTTTTTTCTTTTTTCTTTTTCTTTTTCTTTTTTTTTTCTTTTTTACAAATGCCTGACATTTATTCTCCAATTTGCCCGTAGGCAGGTACCTTTATTAACAAAAAATCAAATCTCATACCATCCATCCCTTTCATGTCCCACCCATTGCCTCACTGTCTCCCTTTTTTCACTTCGCTGCTCTGCTCACTGTCACTAGTTACGGCTTACAGTACCCATTTCCCTCCACCACCTTACAGCTCACCCCTCACAAATCTCTCCTCTTTTTTTTTTTTTTTGATGCACAAATCTCTCCTCTTTTTATACAGCTTCTCCATTGCTTGGTTATACCCATTTCCATGGCTCCTCTCTTTCTCCTCTGCTTCCTTTCCGTTCTTTCTCTTGCTTCTTCTGCTTCACGGGGTGATGAGAAAACCTTCATTGTGAGGGTTCAGCATGATGCCAAACCCTCCATTTTTGCTACCCATAAACACTGGTATGAGTCTTCTCTTGCCTCTGTGCTTTCCACCACGAAAACCGCCACCATTATTCATACTTATGAGACAGTATTTCATGGGTTCTCGGCGAAGTTGTCATCCTCGGAGGCGCTGAAGCTCCAGATGCTTCCTCATGTGGTTGCTGTTATTCCAGAGCAGGTGAGGCGGCTGCATACAACTAGATCGCCTGAGTTTCTGGGTCTGAAGAAAACCAACAATGCTGGGTTGCTGAAAGAATCCGATTTTGGGTCTGATCTCGTGATTGGGGTCATTGATACGGGGATATGGCCGGAGCGGCAGAGTTTTAAAGACCGGGATTTGGGTCCGGTTCCTGCGAAATGGAAAGGGCAGTGTGTGATGACGAAGGATTTTGGGTTGAATTCGTGTAATAAGAAGCTGATTGGAGCGAGATTCTTCTGCAATGGCTACGAGGCGACGAACGGGAAGATGAATGAGACGTCGGAGTACAGGTCCCCGCGAGATTCAGACGGGCACGGGACTCACACGGCATCAATCGCCGCTGGGAGGTACGTATTTCCTGCTTCCACATTGGGGTATGCTAAAGGGGTGGCTGCAGGTATGGCGCCGAAGGCGAGACTCGCCGTTTATAAGGTGTGCTGGAATTCAGGTTGCTACGACTCTGATATTATGGCGGCGTTTGACGCCGCCGTTGCCGACGGAGTCGATGTTATTTCGCTCAGCGTCGGTGGTGTTGTCGTGCCGTATTATCTTGACGCGATTGCGATTAGCGCTTTTGGTGCAAATGATCGAGGGATTTTTGTATCTGCTTCTGCCGGGAACGGCGGTCCTGGTGGACTAACGGTGACCAATGTTGCTCCATGGGTCACAACTGTCGGTGCTGGAACTATTGATAGGGATTTCCCTGCTGATGTTAAGCTTGGGAATGGAAAAACGGCGCCCGGAGTCAGTGTGTACAACGGACCGAGTTTAACTCCAGGTCGAATGTACCAGTTGGTTTACGCCGAAAGTGAAGGCGGTGATGGGTATTCATCCACTCTGTGCTTGGACGGTTCTTTGGATCCTAATTTTGTGAAAGGGAAAATCGTTGTGTGTGAAAGAGGAATCAATTCCAGAGCAGCGAAGGGAGAGGTTGTGAAGAAAGCCGGCGGGGTTGCGATGATTTTGGCTAATGGGGTCTTTGACGGTGAAGGTTTGGTCGCCGATTGCCATGTTCTGCCAGCAACCGCCGTCGGTGCATCCGCAGGTGATGAGATTAGGAGTTACATTAGCGCTGCGTCGAAATCAAAGTCACCAGCCACCGCCACCATTGTTTTCAAAGGAACCCGTTTGGGGGTCAGGCCAGCTCCTGTGGTGGCCTCATTTTCAGCTCGAGGGCCTAATCCGCAGACACCGGAAATTCTTAAGCCCGACGTGATTGCCCCTGGACTGAACATTCTAGCCGCTTGGCCCGACCTTATCGGGCCATCAGGGATTCCGTCTGACAAGCGTACAACCGAGTTCAATATCCTTTCGGGTACCTCAATGGCTTGCCCTCATGTTTCTGGACTGGCCGCCCTGTTAAAGGCGGCACACCCTGAATGGAGTCCCGCCGCCATCAGGTCTGCCCTGATGACCACTGCGTACACTGTCGATAACCGAGGTGAAACAATGCTTGAGGAAACCACTGGAAACACTTCTACTGCGTTAGATTTTGGTTCAGGTCATGTCCACCCAACAAAGGCATTGGACCCCGGTCTCATCTACGACTTAACTTCAATGGACTATGTAAATTTCTTGTGCAATTCCAATTACACACTCAACAACATTCAAGTGATCACTAGGAGGACTGCGGATTGCAGTGGTGCAAAGAGGGCCGGCCATATTGGAAACCTGAATTACCCATCATTTTCCGCCGTGTTTCAACTATACGGCAAGCATAAGATGTCAACTCATTTCATCAGGACAGTGACAAACGTAGGCAACCCAAATTCGGTCTACACTGTCACAATCCAACGCCCCCGTGGCATGGTGGTGACCGTAGAGCCAAACCGGCTAGTATTCAGGAGAGTAGGGCAAAAATTGAACTTCCTTCTGAGGGTTCAAGCCAGAGAAATCAAGCTCTCCCCTGGGAGCAACCATGTGAAGACTGGTTTTATAGTTTGGTCCGATGGAAAGCATAATGTCACAAGTCCCTTAGTTGTGACAATGCAGCAGCCTCTCTAATTTTAGGGTTTTGGGTTTTAGAAATTTTGTTTTTGTTATATATATGTGATTATATGTATGATGAGAGTAAGGTGGCGTTTTTCTATATCAGAAAGCAAGTGGAGTTGGGATTGTGATGTGAAGAAAAAGGCATGATGAAGTGCAGGGTGCATATGTAATGTATCTTTGTTGTAAGATTGAGAACCAAGAATGTTACTGAAATATGCTTGTGTTCAAAAGACGTCAAGGATAATGAGAAAACAACGGAAAAGAAAACGGAGAGTCCTTTGTCTTACTTGAAATCAATGGTTTTTGAATCTCTTCTTGCTCTTGATTTCTTTAGTTTGTTGATAGGTTGTTTCTAATTAGATCGGAGATCAGATGCATTGTTAATGTCAGATTTATGCATTAGCAGGGAAGCATGCCTTTCATTGGATGAAACAAAAACAAGGCTTTGGTTGAACATGTGATTCAATAGCCTAGAAAGTTTGTTGTAACTTCCATGGATATGATGTTTGCGCACATGAATGAGGACTATCTTAGTTATTATCAAATATCAATATGCTTGTATTATGAAAGTTCATATCAAAATGTCGGCTAACGTCTCTCTTTGAATGGAACATAATCAATGCTAATGCTAAATTGCTAAATAAGGTGAATTCACTCATGAAACAAAAGCAACTTAGCTGGAAAGGGAAAGGATCATCAGCAATTCTACCTAGCAACTTTTCTTCGTTTGACATTTTACTTTAGTATAGTGGTCAACTTATTTGATTATCATATATTAGCTTTCACATGTCATACTCAAATCTAGTCAAAGGCAGGTCATTCATGTCAAAATTAAGAAATTTATGAAAAATTACATTTTCATTGACTTTTCCAACGAATGTAACCCCAATCAACGAAGTTAGGATAATTCTCCCTCTTTATGTTTGACAATTCTTAGGCTAAACTTGTCTGCTTCTCTATCCTCCTTGTTCATTAGTTTTTGAGTTCTTTTGGTGTTGCCTTGGTTTAGGTTTAGAAAGGCCTGATTTGGCCCATTATATGTTAGCTTGCATGTAACTCGGGCTTCGGAGAGCTTTCAAGTTACCAACAGGGCCATTGAAATCGCAACCCATTAAGAAATTGCTTTCCTGCCGTTGGTGTGTTGGACCAGTGGCCCACTATTAAAAACCTTCTTGACTCTTTGGACCAACCTCCAATTACTGAAGGGAAGAAATAGGAATAATTTCTCATAAGCTTTTGATTATTATAATGTGTTGTATTTTTTTCCCTTAAAATAAGATAAAATAAAAATAAATATATTAAATGACATTTTAAAATAGAAAAATAAACATTGAATTCAAACACTTGAAATTAAAAAAATAAGACAATTAAAGTTGAATGAAAATAGTATATAACTATTTATAAAAGAAAGATTCTTTTAATGTGTTGTGGTATACCATAGATTAAATATACGAGATGCATGTATGTTACTCAAGCTAAAATTAAAATTAAAAACTTAAAGAAACCCTCTTATATTGATTCTTTGATTAAGGTCTGGGATTTAGGAATATGTCAACATCAAACACAACTTACAATTGTTAATGTTTTAATTGTCGTCTCCATATAGAAACTAGAAAGAGTATCACATACCCTTTCCTAAATTCGTGATGATGATAATTTTCTTGGCTAAGGGTAGTGTTTGCTTCTCAATGAAGAGCCGCACCTTCAACTTTCAACAGTCTTAGATTAATTCTACTGCAAATTGTACATATAAAATTTACTGCTAGATTATGAATCCCATCTTGTGTGGGAAAAGGAGTGTAGGATATTAAAAGCTATCCTTGATTAGACCCTAATAGATTCTCCACTCGATTTTGATTTTTTGTCGTCGAAAATTTTATAATAATTTTATAATAATTATATAATATTAAATAAATAAATACATATAACATTATATATTTTGTTTAGATTAAAAAAAAATTAATATATCATGTTATAAAGTTTCATTATGAAAAAAAACTATTATCAGTAAATCATTTCCCATTCTCCTCGATGTGGTAATGGTAAGGGAGTTTAATACTTTCCTTATTAACAATATTTATTTTGATTCTTATAGGGAAGTGAATAGGGATGTATGTAAACGAGTCCATATGAACATTTACAGTGAGTTCGAGCTGGATTTTGAGCTTCATACATATTTATCGAGTTGAGTTTGAATTTCATCGAAACTTGACCACAATTCATTTATCAAATAATCAAAGCTTAGGGAGTTGTTTGATCTCTTTCTATTTGTATATACTTTATTTTTCAAAGAATATTATTGAATTAATCACGTTTCTATTGAGTTGATAACAAACTTTTAAAAAGTTTACCCGAATCGAGTTTTATAAACTTAATGGGTTGAAACTTGAAAGTGAGTACCTCGTGAATTACTTTATTATTATTATTTTATTAATATTTAAATATTTGGTAATCATATTAAATTTTAATTAATTTATATTAAATTTTATAAAAAAAAATTTATTATTTATTTTTTTATTTACAAAATTTAAATTAAAAATTTTATTTAAAAAAAACTAAACTTTTTGTCCTCAAATTAACATAACATCGGTGTAAATTACTTTATTTACTTACTAACAATACAAGTTATAGAAAGGTAACCGTAAACTTTGAAGTTGTTCAGGGAGAGCAGAGAAGATTTTAAATAAGAAGCTAAAGGCCTTCGTGTTCTAATTACTGCAGGCCAGAAACGGCCTTCGTGTTCTAATTACTGCAGGCCAGAAACATTCTATGCCGCACGCGTTTTGCTTATCTTTTACAGGTTCATGAAAGGACATGCCTGATTGAAAATGCATCGGCTTTGGACGCGTTGTCATGATAAAAAAACAGTGTTGCTATATATATATATATATATATATATATGCACACATAGCAGTTTTTCATCGAAGCATCAATTATTAATGATGTGTTTCGTAATCAAACTCGATTCAAATTCCGAAGAAAATGACCCAAGTAATTAGTAAGATGATTCTGTACTCCATCTGGCCCTCGATAATGACCTCACCAAATATTCAAAGCAAAAAGCTGTGTTTCCTCCTTTTTCACCTTTGTTCTGGTCATTTCCATCGATTTTAAACATATTTAAAATATTAAGGATATATATATATATATATGGGGATTAATGTTTAATTGTTTATTAATTAATCAATCTCTAAAACATTATAACAAATTAATATTTTAAAGTTATGTTATTTAAATAAAATGATTCAAGCACATGGGCCTAGAGGCCTACTGACATTAACCAGCTTGTTAGGTGCATTCCCTTTCCTCTGGACGGGTTTCGAACCCGCCCCGTGTAAAAAATGTTCAAAAAAAAAAAATAATTCAAAAAAAAATTTGTAGAAAGTATTTTTTCGAAATTTAATTTTTTTTTCTTAGTGATTTTTAATACGCATTTTCACTTTAAGATAATGTACTCAAAATTTTCTATTTGCCCAAAAAGACATAATGCACTAAAAAACAATTCTTTT